GGGGTCAATAGCGCCGCACCGTCCCAGACCGTCCACATAATCAGCGAGTGCGACCTGAGTTCTTGACGTATCGCTCCCATCAAGGATTCCGACGGACCCTATCGTGAAGGGTTTGCTGTTCTGCTCGCTGGTTGTTGGTTGTCGGTCGGGACACGAGCGTTAAAAAAATCATTTCGCATCACACCAAACGTGGAGCCTCCCAAACGTCACGAGAGGGCAACAAAGCCGAAAAAAGCCCGCGTTCTGACAGAGGCGCGACAACAGCGCAATTGATTTCTCGCTCCCTAGGCCACCGATTGACGCCAAACCGGTCAGGGTGTGCTCNTTCTCTCTCGGAGTGGCGTGGCTCAGGAGCTCGCAAGCTCAATCGACGGAAATCGTTGTCTGCGTGTGCGCACGCCATCCGTTGAAAAAGGTTTCCAGGTGTTCAACAAGTCAGTCTATTCGCAAGGGAATAACAAGGGCGAAAAAATCAGTTCGAAAAAGCAAAGTGACGCCACGCACAATTCTCTCTCCATCGATTGAGCTTGCGAGCTCCTGAGCCACGCCACTCCGAGAGAGAGCAAGGAACGGAGAGCACACCCTGACCGGTTTGGCGTCAATCGGTGGCCTTGGGAGCGAGAAATCAATTGCGCTGTTGTCGCGCCTCTGTCAGGGCGCGGCTTTTTTTCGGCTTTTTTGCCCTCTCGTGACGTTCGGGAGTCTCCACGTTTGGTGTGATGCGAAATGATTTTTTTTACGCTCGTGTCCCGACCGACAACCAACAACCAACGTGTGGAACAGCAAACCCTGCACCATAGGGTTCGTCGGAGCCCTTGATGGGAGCGATACGTCAAGAACTCAGGTCGCACTCGCTGATTTTGTCTATCGAGGTGTCCACAACCCCCAAGTAAGATCAAGATGCAGTTTTCCATATACCCGTACATGCAATAATCTTGATCTTGGGGGGGGGTCGCTTTTATCTTGCCAAGGTTTTGAAGAATCAAGATCAAGATTTGTTTGCCATAAACAGCGGTCTAATACCCGCGGGTGATTGTTAATACTACAGCTGTACCCGCCGCTTCTCTTTATGTCTACTTGGACTTTCCTTCTTCTTCTTCCGCTGCCGGTTATTCATGCAGTACATACACTAGTTGGCCAAGTACAAAATGGTGTACTATATACCAGGTGGTTGTTTTCAACACACCCCGACTGACTGCTGTACATCTCATTTTACGTGTCGTAAATATTATGTTCGACGCCAACAAACAAACGGTTGCCAGTCTTCTCGGCGATGCTGACATTTCGTACCACCCCCTTCCTTAGCAAGACGCGTAGTTTGAGGTATAGCATGCCTCCATTGGCCCCGGGGATGGTGAGCTATCATCCCCTGAATTATTAGGACGCAACCCCGGGTGTGGTCTTGTCAATACAGCGAGTAGGGGGGCTGTTGGACGTACTCACAGCGTCGACAGATTATTGCGAGCAAGAAATTTCCGAGCAGACGGAGCGGGGAGTTTGGGGGTTCAGCAGTGTTGTTGTTGTTGTTGTTGTTGTTGTTGTTGTTGTTGTTGTTGTTGTTGTTGTTGTTGTTGTTGTTGTTGTTGTTTCTCACATTAGCTCTACAGTCCACAAAAAATGGGGAGCCCGTGGTCTCAAAACCCGGCACATACGCCGCCGCGGGGAAACGAAACAAAAATAGGGTACAAACCACTCGGAAAAAGAAAGCAAAAAGAAAGAAAATAACAGGTACCGCACCGACTGTTCGAGAAAAGAGCCCTCGGAAACCGATAAAAAAAAACAAAAACAAAATTAAAGGAGGACGCTTCCCACACCCGCCCAAAGAAAAAATCAAAGGGTAACGTATCAGCACCAGGCACTACGCACCAGGGCATGAGAGTAGCGGAGCAAACAGGACAAAGAGGCGGCAGATGGGCCGACAGCCAGACGTACAAAACCAAAGGCAACAGCAAAGCGAGATC